TATACATACATATATATATATATATATATATATATATATATATATATATATATAAGCATACTTATTTCATACATAGCTACTTTAGTCTACTCAGCTCAGCTTGGCATGTTTATTGCCGTTGTGGCGGTCTTCGGCGGAACAATAAAACGAAAACACCTAACAAACACCCAAGTACCATAAAAAGGCCATTAAAACAATATCAATCGGCTGCCCACGAATGCATAATACTCGCTCGCAGCTGCCCCGAGGGAATTCAGTTGTGCGCTAAAAATAATAGCATAACTTGCAATATGTTTATTTAATTTACTTAATTTTGTTTAGTGAAAAAAAAAAAGTAAATAAAATTGTTGATTAGAGTTCCAAGAGCTAGTTTATGAGTTATTTTATTTTTATAATGATAAAGTAATTTGTGCCATAGTAGCAAACCGAATATACTCCTTTTACTTTGACAGTAGATGCTCTGATGCTTTAGATGAACTGACAATCATAAAACATTTCAATAGATATTGTAGTGATAGAGCAGCTTCCCTATTAGCATAACAATTATTTTTAAATGCTTCAATATAATAATAATAATAATAATAGATGATTCTTCTAAGGCAAAAACCCACTTTAAAGTATGTTTTATATATTTCAAATTCAATTTAGTTTCAACTCATTTGCAGTCACAAAATGCTAATGCCTGAATAGTGCTTTATAAATGAGCCTGAAGCCAGAACGAACTTTGCTTGCCTGCGGACGTGTGGGCTGGCTGAGAAACTTTCCTCAGTTGTTTATGGCACACTAGGGCATCGAAGAGAACAGGGACAAATGAGTCCAGGCAGAATGCAAGTGGGGAATCGGCATTGTGGCCTGTTGTTGGCTTGGCCAATTTAAACGCCTGCAGCCTGTTGCGAGTGCTACGTTTTGGTGTGTCAAATTAAAGAAATTTTCTCCAACTGCCTTGATAGTCGTACACACATTATCGTGTCTCAATTGGGCGATTTCATTAATAGATGTTGGAGCACCGTCTGCTCGCCGGGTCGATACGAATGACCTTCTGAGTGAGTGGACCTGGCGTTCATTTAAAGGTTCAACCAGCAAGCGAGCACTTTAATTTGCCCACACAATACGCCACAATATACAATGCAACTAAATGTCAGGCAATCAGGAATTTACGAGCTGCCGGAGCTGCCGGAGCTGCCAAGCGGCCATCAAACTCATATAAAATCGAAATCAAATAAATGGCCAACATTTTGAGCGACAGATTATAAAGGACAATTCTGTGAGTTATGCGTGCCGCTGCAAAATATGGCCATTTGTATATATTTTACTGTTGCCGAAATTTATGCAACTGGCTCGGCAGCGTTGTCATTGAAGTGTTGCCATCATTGCTTCAGCATGGACAGACCATTTGAGTGATTGGCTTTCAACTGCAGATGATGTCCATGTGGTGCAAAATGTAGATTATTTGTCACATAATCAGTTGGGAAATTCCATTACGTTCAATTCAAGTCGTAAACAATTTTGCCTAATGGCCATAAGTAAACAGCAACAACAACAACAACAGCAGCACTGATGTCCTGTTACCATAAATAGCTGGGCTGACATCAAATCATAATAAAAAACAAAAAGCAACACAACTGCTTTCAAATTAAACAGCCACGCGCGTCACATTTCGCCTCGTTTCCGTTTCCGCTTCCGCTATTTTATTGAGAATAACGTCACATTGAAAGTTGGTCCAAATATTTGTAGGCCATGCAGGAGATAATAAAGCCATAATTCGGTACCAACTGAGACGAAGTGGCAAAACTGGATACCAATTTATATACACATATCAAATGGAATCAAATGATAAGCGATTATTTCGCTTGATTTCAAGGTCTTGCTTTGCCTGTACATCGTGCGTGGTTCCTGCACATGATTTAGCTAATTCACAAACCCTGATTAACGTTTCTGATTTGATTTCCATGATTGAAGTAGTTTCTTGCTGAATCAGTTGGAACTTTTCAGCTATTCTTATATCATGTATATCTTTTATATTGATATATCAAAAAGTTTATATTTCATATTTTATTCAAAAAATAGTATTCACAATTCCTTTCATTCACATTTGCAATGCAGTCAAATTTCAGGCTAAGACTATTCAAAAATAAGTTGGTAATTTACAGTTTGCCCTTTGAGCAATTTAGCTTAGTTGATGCGATTTGACACAGCCGCCTGTTGCGCGTAGTTGGCCAACCATTTGCCGACTTGACCCTGATTGAGCTCCAGCCACTTGATGTTGGCCTTCACCGTTTCCAGTGCCCGCTGACGCGCCGCAGTGCCAGCACCTGCTTCTGGATATTTGGCAAAGAACTGTTGCATCTCCTCCAGTTTGGTTTGCGTTGCAAAGCGCCCGGTTATTGTAGGAATAATATTACCCAAAGTGCGCTCGTTGATGCCAAAGCGCTCCACTAGCCGCTCCCAGTTTTCGCGCACATAGTCCCAGACAAGGCTCTGGCCAACTGGATTGGCAGAAATTTGTCCCAGCAATGAGAAATAGTCTTGGCGGCGCACATTCTTTTCGTCCCAGGCCAAATTGATGTAGCGTTGCAGCAGCCAAGGCACCTTTATAGCTGCCAGTGCATTCATCAGCTTCACTTTCTCCTGGGCGTCGGGCTCAGACAGATAGAGTTGCCAGACCTGGTCCCAGGCGGCTTCAGTGTTCACTTCTTGCAGACCAAAGTAGTAGACAACATCGCGCACATCAGGACTAGGACGCGTATCGGGATTGGTCAGCCACTGCTTGAACAAAGTGGCAGCCTGCTGCAGCGAGCTCTCGTGTCCGACTCTGCAAGCAGCATTCAGCACCTTGTTGCGCAGTTTACTGCAAAATTTAATTGACATTTCAATAAATAACAATGGCCAAGCGTTAATGAAGTGTCATATTTACTTTTCCAAATGATCCGTGCCCACGGTAAAGGTCAGCTTCTCCACAATTGGTGACAGCAGTTTGCGGGCGTACGTTGTAAAGTCCTTGTAAAGGCTCGTGTAGTAAACACGGTTTCTGAGCGACGTCAGTGAAGCGGTGCCCACGCTCCAAGGCACGTAGTCCTTCTCGTCTTCGAGGTATGTGCTTAGGTCTAGCGCAATGGTGTAGTCCAGCTGTGCTGCATCCGCCAAGGCATTGGCATCGTTCAACAAATGTGCACGATCCGCTGTGCTGAATGTTTCCCGCGAATTCTTCAGAGCTTCAAGCAAGGTTTTCCATTGCTCCTCGGCATAGTTGACACGATAGTAGCCCACCTGATCCTTGTTGAACTTTACCCAACTAACAGTGCTTGGCACAGAGATGACAAGCTGGTTATCGTTATAGCTGAATATTGTGGTCTTTGGCGTGCTGTCCGCGCTTGTTATGTAGGTTATTGGTATGGACCAGCGATAGCTGTAAAGCAAATGAAAAGAATTGAGTGTATTGCGCAGATTGATTGCGCAATAATCACATACTTGAAGGAAGACGGCTCGACCTCAACATTATAGTCATCCTGATTGGCTAGAAAACGTTTCTGTTTCAGTCTGTAATTGTTTCCATCCTTCACCACCTCAACCACTGGCAGTCCCATCTGTTCGGTCCACGTTTGCATGATTTGCCTGCAAGCAAGAGATTAGTTAGATAATCTGATCTCGATAGATGCAACTCAGTAGCTGCGTTGACATACTTGACATCAAAGTCGAGACCCTCTTCTTCCTCAACGGCCGTCAAATAATCTTCGGTGGTGGCTGTGCTATATATATGGCGGTACAAATAGCGCGTGGTGGCGTTTTTCAGTTTCTCCTCGGTCACAAGATTCTCCAGCATGCGCACCAAAGAGGCGCCCTTAGAGTAGGTGATGGTATCGAAGTATTCGGTGATCTCAGCAGGACTCTCAATCGTTTTGACAATGGGATGTGATGCAAGCGTGGAATCGATCTTCAGCACTGGATGCAGCTCGTCAATCACAAATTGATTCAACTGTGCGTAGAAAATTATAATATAAGCAAGAGAACAAACTGAGCACAGAGAACTCTTACCATATCCCAATCAGGGTGCATGTACTGCACGCCCTTGTACTCGATGAATGAGGCAAAGCCTTCGTTGAGCCACAGATCGTTCCACCATTTCATGGTGACCAAATTGCCAAACCATTGATGGGCCAGTTCATGGGCAACGACACTGGCAACGCGTTGCTTGTTCGCGCTGGAGCTGGTCTTCTCATCGTACAGCAGCGCCGTCTCCCGGTATGTGACCAGACCCCAGTTCTCCATGGCACCGGAGACAAAGTCGGGTATGGCAACCATATCCAATTTGGGCAACGGATACGAAATGTTGAAGATATCTATATAATATTCAATAACGCCGGCGCCAGTATCTAAGGCGTATTGGGCCTTCGGAATCTGTGCTTTCGGCGCAAAAACGCTTATGTCGATGTTGGTTCCTCCAATTTTTTTCGAAATATGCGCAAAGTCCGAAACGACAAAGGCAGCCAAATAGGTGCTCATGGGCACTGTCTCCTCGAATGTCACCTCAGTCAGATCGCCCTCAATGTGTTCGCTCTGCAAGGGGACGTTATTAAAAAGAGTTCCTTGTTGACCATATTTGTCTTCACTTACGGCAACTGGCATATTGGAGAGCACGTGGTATTCACTCCCACTGGGACGGGCAACAGTGATGACAAACTGCGCCTTTAGATGCGGCTCATCGAAACAGGGGAAGGCTCTGCGCGCATAGGTGGGCTCGAATTTGGTGGAAATGATATGTCTGTAAACAAATTAAGCATATTCATTTATTGCTAATATACAACAACCAATTGAATTAGAGAAAGGTTAGTCATTGGCCAAATTATAGTGCATGCATGTGGGGTTAGCTCATAAAAGACATCAAATCTGCGTCTACCTGCTGCGATTGGTCACCGAATCGTAGTATGAGCTTTGGTACATTCCGGTTAAGCGATCGACCAATGAACCATTGAATTTCAGATGCAAAGTATAGTTGCCCACCTCCAGTGGCTGATCGAATTCGCTCACCCAATACTCGAGATCGGGATGGGCAAAGCTGAGCGTTGGCTTGATCTCCGCCAATAGAGCACCCGAATCATCCAGGCGCTGCAGTTGCCCATGGCTCACATTTAATTGATTAATATGCACGGGTATAAATGCGATGGGATCCAGTACTTGTAAATAGATGCTAATGTTGCCCGTATAGCTCTTCGCATCGAAATCGGGACGCAAATCCAACTTGTATTTTTGCGGCTGAAGCGCCTTGGGCAAGCGGTAGGTGAGCTTCTGCAGTACACGGCTAACAGCTCGAATTTCAGGTGATATGGCGGCCATGGCGTGTACTTTTCTTGTTGTTGGCACTTGGGTGGTGTATGCTCGATTATCTGTGTTTTTTTTTTTTATTATTATTATTAATTGTTTATCAGTAATTTATAAATTAGTACAAAGTTGTATTTTTTGCAACTCAGCGCGTCGAACAGCTGCAGCGTTATCGATAACGATATCGATAACGCAGCACAGTATGCTGAGCAAAGCACAAGTAAGCCATGCAAAGCTGATTGCTATGAGAGTGCTGTTGCTTAGCGCGCACTTGCTCATTTGAGTTGATAAATTTCGGGAAATTGAAACGAACCTGAGAGCACACTCAATATTGGCTTGGTGGACAATAACTGATCACGATCCACATATATGGTGCGTACTGTATCATTAAATACAGTTAGACTGCCAGCACTGTTCGCCTGCTGCTTCAGGTGCTCATCGGCAATATTTTTGCCCACATAAACCAGTGCGCCCAGCAGAAAAGTGCAGAGGACCAAGAGGAACACACAAAACGCGACCAGCGTGAGGACCGTGTTGCTTGGCGATTTCTTGTGCACGCGAGTCGTATCCTTAATGCGATGATTGTCGTCTGTGGAGAGGCTGCTGCGTGGACGCACGTTTTTTGTCGCATACATGCCGACCTGACTTTTGTTGCTTGTTCTTTATTTATAATTGAGACTATTTGGTTTAATTTGTAATTGTGCACTATTTAAACTGATATTCAAACATTTATGACGACTGAGCGTGCTATAATAATTGAACGGCGATTAATGTAGATACCAGGTATCCAGAAGTTTACACTGTAGCCTGATTAAGTTATGTTTCAACTAAGAGCTGGCCTTGTATTCCACCAATTGACTGTAACTTTGAAAATAACCAAGTAACGACAATTGGCATTTAGTTTTTCTTCACTTGGTTTACTAAATGTTACTAAAATTAAAATATATTCCGCGATAATTGTAAGAATGTAGCTTAATTCGTAGATAGTTTGAATTGTGCTAAGGTATCTTAAAAATGTGTTGCTTTCGCTTGACGCTCGAAAACAACCGAAAGCTATTAGCACAACATTCCTCTGAGTAGATAAGTTTACGCGAACTGAACCCAACTCCGAAGCCTAGGCTGCCACTGGGTTTTCCTATTTCGTAATGAAATCTTACACTTTGGTATAAATAAACCGTTATCAAGTTATCATTGAAATCGATATATACGTATCTCCGCTACATTCTGTAAACAGGATATTTTTCTATTGATTATCATTTGATAACATGGGACAGCTGTTATGTATGTATGTTATATTCACAAATTATTAATAAAACAAAAATAATATCACCAAAAAAATGTTTATATCTGTAGGCCTGATCAGTATTTTGCCATCGTCACCTGTAATTTGAGCTCTTCATAAACAGGCCAAATTACAGACGTGGCTATTATCACACTTTCCGTCTGTTAAGCCCTATAAACACAGACAGACTTATGTATGTGTATACATAACATTCGCTTGTCGCATTTGATACGATTTTCATTCAAAGTTGATGCGATTTTGTCTCCACTGCAGATCAATCAAATGTAATTTTCAGGCTGTCACGTAATTGAGTCGCTCTGTTCGCCTTCTCTGTGTAATTGTAGCCAAGTTTAAGTCTTTTTCTGTCATTGTTGTTGTTGTTGTTGCTGCTGTTATTATTATTGTTGTTGCTGTTGTTGTCGGCAAACCGCAATGCTGTATTACAAATTTCCAGGTTTATTGCAATTGCAGTGATTCGAAGACCGCAGGCCACTTTCTATAAAGGCGTTGGCTGCGACGTCAGCGTCGCTGTCGCTAGCCAGCCTGCCAGTGTGTGTACGTGTGTCTGTGATTGACTGATGGATAGACGGATGGATGGATGGATGGAAAAGGTTGTTGGCTTTTTGTCAGTTGATTTGCACTGCAGTTTCTATCTATCTTTCTCTCTCTCTCTCTCGCTTTCGGCCTGAGCCATGGGAACAATTTCTCGAACCAAAAAATATGCCTTGCAAATGAATTGAATTAGCCATAAAAGTCAGATGCGGTAGTCAAAGCAGCAGTAATTTATGTCATCACACGTACATATGTAACATATGTGGGCTATTAAGCAATGAAGAAATTAGCATTAGGTTAATGGCCAAAACTAAACGTGTTTCAGTAATCAAGCGAGCAATTTATAATAATTATATTGTTTACAAAGTGATTGATGAAGTCAATCAAAGTTCCGGTTTAATGAATATAAAAACGAAAAATAAAAAAAATTGCTCCTCTTCCGAAACTTTGAAGATAGTAAAAATAATCTCAAATTAGAGTTAATCTCAATTAGAGTTAAGGTGAAGTATGTTTTCAAATTTGTATGCGCTTGGTAAAAATTAAAGGAAATATCAGAATCATAAGAAGTAGGGGTTTAATTGAACATTGAAACTGCTTTAGATCACCTTTTCAACAAAGAAGTTTAAGAGATCCATTGAAGAAGCATAGTATTGACTATTTAAAAGATATTATTCAAAAGATTTAAAGCCTTAAATATTCCTAGTACACACATATATAAATACTAAAAAATTTCCTATATTTTAAGCATAATTTTCCTCATGCTACACACCGTTGCATATCTCTTGCTTGTATCTTTTATGCAAGCTAATATAACTGTGTCTTCATTTTCAATTCGCATAATCTATGCTATGCTCTTACAATTGTGATTTTTAAGTAGTCCAGTGTACACATGCCCACACTTAAGTAGCTCAGCTGCCACAATAAAATGATTAAGATACGAAATTCAAGTGAGCTGCGAGCTGGGAAACATATGCGTTAATTTGGGCAGCTTGTGCGAAGCCAAATGCGAATGCGAATGCGAATCTAAAGTGTTGTATATGATAAAATATGATAATTGTCTGGGGCCGGGGGGCAGAGATGCAGGGCGTCTGTGTGCTTGCCACACAGCACTCAACCAGCTCATCATCATCGTCTCTATTTCCATCTCTGTCGCTGACGCCTACGATGATGCAATGCATTGGCGTTGACTCAATTAGGCTGCAGACAAAAGCCAACAACAACAATAATAGCAAAAGAAACAAAAAAGAGCAACTGCAACTAAAAATGCATGACTACCTTATAAGCCAAACACTTGATGTGGCAGCTGCAAAGTATCTGCGAATGTATAATTTCATACTTCCCATTGTATCCAAAGCGGATGCACTTGGAGAAATAACTAAGCAAGCTTCAAGCTTAAAAAATAGATTATACATATTTATTTGAAGCTAAGATTGCATCTTATATTTATTCTAAAATATTAGAAAAATAGTCTTGAATTAGATTTTGATATAAAAATACTATAAATTTTCTCTCCGTGTATGCTGCTGCGCTGTTAATGAATGCGACATCAAAAGTCAAATAATTTTGAAATTTAAATGAATTTAATGAACGAGCCCAAGTTGAATGCACTTGCAGAATGCTAATATTATTATTAAAAATCAAATTTGATTCTGCCTTTTTTTTAATGCTGACTCACTAAGAAGTTAGAAGAGTATATTAGTTATTTGCTAGAATATGAAGCTTTGATATACTCATATGCATCTTCAGCTCTCTCATAGTTATTTACCAAGAGGTTTGAGACTAACTAACTCAATAGCTAGAACCTACAAAGTCCTAACAAGTCCTTCAAACTATATTTCATTACAAATTTGATAAACCTTCATAAATAAATATCAACTTTCCTTTGGCTTTGTGTTCTGCAGTCGATAACTCCTCACAACAAAGTTCTGACTTGTTTTAGGTTAACTTTCACGCAACCGATGTAAATAAAGAAACGCCAAGTGCGACCCACAAATGCCCAAAAAGTGAGCCGCGGCGATATAACAATCGCTCTAGCCACCGGATTGGGTCACTGTGACTAAGAAATACGTGACTGAAATTGCTAATACGCACAGGCATACGTATTTCAAAAGCACACCCAAAAACCTTTGAAGTGAATGCGAAATTGAAGCAGAAAACAGAAATCTGAAAACAAAGCTAAACTTTCAACAGTTTGCCTGTTATGCACAACAAATAAATGGTATTGCTTAGGGTTTTGTTTTTAAACAAATTACATAAGGATTCGACATAATGGCAAGCAACGAAATTTAAATTAATTACAGTGAGCTTAAAAAACAAAAACAATAACAAATTTACATGCATAATTATTGCACATACTGCAAATATCAAATATATATTGGACTTATGAATCTAACAAAAAACTATGCATTAATTTTTTTAGCCATTGTTATTGAGTATTTCTTCTATTATGACTACAAATTTGCATATAAGCTTATGCTTAGAATTCATTATTTATTTTTATTATTATTTTTTTTTTTTCATGGGTTGTTAGTTAAGCTAACAATTATTCAAAATCTATTCCAAATACATTCATTATTAACGACTGTTGTGAACTTTTTTCAATCATAATTATGGAATATATAAATTTAAGCTCAGAACTTATAATCCAAAATATGGGTCATTTGAACTGAAATGTATTCAAAAACTTTTCAAAAGAATCTTCAATGTGAATTTCACCAGCCTATCTCTATTATTATTTTCCTTTCTTTATAATAAGATTTTACTATATTAATAATCAATATATATAATAAATGGATTATTAATGAATATAGCTTCATTTATTTAAATTTCTTAATAAAAATGAAGATCCTCATTTGGAAAACTCTGAAAATCAAATTAATGAGAAATTTTGCTTTCAGCTATACTTTTTGTTAATTACAAAACTAATGATGACCTTCATTTTCTGACCAAGCACCAACGAAGAATGAATGGAGGAAAGAAAGAAATTTAAATAGATCGAGCGACAGTTGGCCCGAAGGCGTTAAAGAGAAATGGACAAAAAAAAAAGAAAAGAAATCAGTGCCAATGAAAATGAAAAAGGTTTGAACAAAGCGCGTCGCATGAACTTGTCAGAACAGAAAAAAAAAAACACCAAACATGAGAAGTGAAGCTGCGTAATACCCTATAAAAATAGACTCTTCTTATATGTTAACAATTATATAAGTTGAGAAACCTATTAAATTATTTCACATTTAACAATATATTATTGATATGCGAAAATTAACATCTTTCAACAATGTTTAAATATAAATTTAGTCAACACAAAAATCAGCTTAGTTGAGATTTTGAAGATATGCATAGGTGCTATACAAGTACGGGGAATCTGATGCTTTCAATAATTACAGATTATTTTCAGAAAGAAAAGAAGTTTATGCCGCAGAAACAAGAAGCAACAAGCGACAACAACAAACGGAAACAACGCTAAAGTCGAAGTCGACCCATTTCATTTGAGCTTTTGAAGAAAGTAATATTTTTTTCTTAGATAAACGAGCAGCAGCTTGCGCTTGGCCACAACAACTTGTAAATGTAAACACAGCACAGAAGCGAAGTGAAGTCGCTGTCGCCGTCGCCGTCGCAGTCATCGTCGTCGTCGTCGTCGTCTTCATCGCCTTCGTGTATTGGCCGATTTTAAGGCCAAGAACTTGCGCGGCAAGTGAACTATGAGAGAGGCTGAGCCGAAGCCTGTTTGCCGGCTCAGCGGAAGTGGAGCAGTAGGAGATGGGATGTGGCAGGGGCACCTAGCCCCATTGTTGTGTTGCGGTCTTGGTGTGGCAAGCGCAGTTGCAACCTGTTTTGCGTGCGTGAAAATTCTGCAGCTTCTTGCGGTTTTTTTAATTTTTTATTTATGATGTTTATTGTTGAAAGTCAAAGTTGGCATCGAATTCAATGGCCGCATTTGTGTTTTTATACCCTGAACCCATTGAAAATGGGAAATCAGGGTATAATGGTTTTGTTAAAAGTATGTAACAGGCAGAAGGAGGCGTGGCAGACCCCACAAAG